AACCCTCCTGGGCCGGTTTCCGCTCCCCCCCCCCCCCCCCCCCCCGTGAAGGCCTCTCTGTCCCCGTTGGGTCTGTCCTGGTTCTGCAAGCATGTGAGCCGGATGGCTTGGATCGGCAAGGGGCCACAGAACCTAAAGCCAGGCGGGGAGGTTCACTGCAGCTGGCACGTTTGAGCAGGAGGGGGAAGCACGCGGTTCATAGAATCATAGAGTGGGAAGGGACCTCCGGGGGCATCTAGTCCAACCCCCTGCACAAGGCAGGGAATTCACAAATACCTCCCCCACACACACACTCCCAGTGATCGCTGTTCCACGCCCAGAAGATGACAAAAAAATCCTCCAGGATCTCCAACCAAACTGGCCTGGAGAAAAATTGCTTCCTGACCCCAGAGTGGCAATCAACATTTCCCTGGGCATGTAAAAAAGGGCCACAAGAACTGAGCACTGAGGCAACCCTCCCTGCCCTCCCTCCTCGTGATCTGCCTCAGTTCGTCCAACAGAGTCTGTCTGATGCTCTGCGGGCCTGTTCAGACATGACCTCGCGCCTTCGTTTGACGCAATTCCCTGTTTGCCCTGGTTTATTCAGACACGGCTACCTTTCTTTCCCTCCTCCCCCCAGTTTCTTAATATCCTAGAAGGACTGAGTCAAGGGAGAGGAGGGGTCCCCCAACCTGTTGCCCAACAGCACCGTGGCAACCGCTGACGCCTCTCCTGGCACCCAGCCAGATGTTTCTAGAAAGGGGGTGGGGCTAGCCGGGGCTTTTGCCCTGCAAGGCGTCTGATTGGCCGCTGGAGATTTGATTGGCTGGGCAGACTTTTTTTTTTTTTAATGTTGCTTTGGCGGTCTGTTTAGCCTGGAGAGGACCGAGAGGGGATATGAGAACCATCTTCAAGTCCTTGAAGGGCTGTCATTATAGAGGATGGTGAGGAGCTGTTTTCTGCTGCCCCAGAAGGTCGGGCCAGAACCAACAGGGTTGGAATTAAATCAGGAGAGCTTTCAGCTGAACAGGAGGAAGACCTTCCTGACAGTTTGAGCGGTTCCTCAGTGGAACATACAGGCTTCCTCAAGAGGTGGTGGGCTCCCCTTCTTTGGAGGTTTTCAGACAGAGGCTAGATGGCCATCTGAGAGCAGTGCGGATTCTGTGAACTCGGGCAGATCCTGAGAGGGAGGGCAGGAAGGGTGGCCTCAGGGCTCAGTTCTCGTGGCCCTTTCTGACACAGATATTCTCCTCCAGGCCCGTTCGGCTGGAGATCCTGGAGGTTTTTTTGTCATCTTCTGGGCGTGGAACCAGGAGTCATTGGGAGTGTGTGTGTGTGTGGGGGGGGGGTGTATTTGTGAATTTTCTCCATTGTGCAGGGGGTTGGACTAGAGGACCCCAAAGGTCCCTTCCAGCTCTACGATTCTATGATCTTCCCTGGGTGGCTGAAAGTAAGTTGTGGCAGCCATTTTGTGAGTGACTCGGCTTCCTGTGGCAGCCATCTTGTGGCTGTGTCCACTACCCCATGACCAAATTCCCAAGGAGCCCACAGGCTCAGGGTGGAGCGGCAGTTCTGAAGCGAAGCGAGCACAAGGAGAGAGACAAGGGTTCCAGTTTGGTGTAGTGAGCCAGTTTGGTGTCGTGGTTAAGTGCGCAGAGGACTCTAATCTGGGAGAACCGGGTTTGATTCCCCACTCCTCCACTTGCACCTGGCTGGATGACCTTGGGCAAGCCGTAGCTCTGATAAGAGCTGTCCTTGAAAAAAGAGCAGTTTCTGTCAAGAGCTCTCTCAGCCCCACCTGCCTCACAAGGGTGCCTGTTGTGGGGAGGGGAAGGGAAAGGAGACTGTAAACTACTCTGAGACTTCGAGTGGAGGGCAGGTAAATCCAATCTCTTTGGTATCGTGGTTGAGTGCACGGACTCTAATCTGGGAGAACCAGGTTTGATTCCCCACTCCTCCTCCACTCGCACCTGGTTGGATGACCTTGGGCAGGCCGTAGTTCTGACAAGAGCTGTCCTTGAAAAAGAGCAGTTTCTGTCAAAAGCTCTCTCAGCCCCACCCGCCTCACAGGGGGTGTCTGTTGTGGGGAGGGGGAGGGAAAGGAGTTTGGAAGCCGCTCTGAGACACCTTTGGGTAGTGAAGGGCCATGGGGTATAAATCCAATCTCCTCCTCCTCCTTCCTGTCTTGGCCCAACCCTACCCTGCTCCACAGAGCCTGTTTTAAAGCACTGTGCTGTGTTACTCTCGTGCAAGCATCGTTCGTTGCAGTTGGCTTGTGCAGGGGAAATCCCCAGAGGATCGTGTCCCTAGGTGACTGCCAGCTTTTGAGCTGTGCCCAACCCAGCCTCCGTCACGCAAGCCGTTTCAGCAGCGTTGCGTGATTTGTTCTGGCTTCTACAGGTTACGGGACAGGATGAGGGCCCGTGGGGGGGGGGGGGGGGGGGGGCCCGGGGGGGGGGGGGGGGGGACGATGCCCAAAACCTTCTCCTTAACTGCTGCCAGCTGCAGACACTTTTATCAGTTCTTGGCCTACGGGTGTTTCTTCGTAACACCGAGGACTGGAAACTTGGCTGTGTGCTTTGTCTTTTGAAACCCAACACTGACCTTTTTGGCACGCTGAGCCATTTGTCTAATTATGAGAGGAATCCCGGAATATCTGCTTCTGTGAGCTGTGAAAACGAGAGGCAGGAATGTTCCTTTCTCATATTCTGTGGTCTCCCGAATATGATAATGAAAATGTTGAGACAGTGTGCGACTGCAATAAAAAAGGCCAACGCGATGCTGGGGATTATTAGGAAGGGAATTGAAAACAAATCAGCCGGTATCCTAATGCCCCTGTATAAATCAATGGTGCGACCTCATTTGGAGTACTGTCTACAGTTCTGGTCACCAGACAGCAGAAAGGATATTATAGCATTGGAAAAAGTGCAGAAAAGGGCAACCAGAATGATAAAAGGGTTGGAACACTTCCCCTATGAAGAAAGGTTAAAGCGCTTAGGGCTCTTTAGCTTGGAGAAACGACGGCCGAGGGGTGACATGATCGAGGTTTATAAGATGATGCATGGGATAGAGCAGGTCGAGAAAGAAGTACTTTTCTCCCTTTCTCACAATACAAGAACTCATGGGCACTCCATGAAATTGCCAAATTGTCGGGTTAGAACAGATAAAGGGAAGTCCTTCTTCACCCAGTGATGAACACATGGAATTCACTGCCACAGGAGGTGGTGGCGGCTACAAGCATGGACGGCTTCAAGAGGGAATTAGATAAGTATATGGAGCAGAGGTCCATCAGTGGCTCTTAGCCACAAGGTATAGATAGGGACTCTTGCTCTGGGGTATCTCAGAGAGCGTATCTCAGAGTGATGCTCTGTATTCTTGGTGCTGGGGGGGGGGGGTCAACAGTGGAAGGGCTTCTAATGTCCTGGCCCCACTGGTGGACCTCCTGATGGCTCCTGGTATTTTTGGCCACTGTGTGACAGAGTGTTGGACTGGGTGGGCCATTGGCCTGATCCAACACTGGCTTCTCTTTTGTCCTTTATATGGAGCAGAGGTCCATCAGTGGCTGTTAGCCACAAGGTATACACAGGAACTCTCAGGTTGGGGCAAGTGATGCTCTGTATTCTTGGTGCTTGGGGGGGGGCAACAGTGGGAGGGGCTTCTAGTGTCCTGGCCCCACTGCTGGACCTCCTGATGGCACCTGGTATTTCTGGCCACTGTGTGACACAGACTGTTGGACTAGATGGGCCATTGGCGTGATCCAGCATTGGCTTCTCTTTGTTCTTATGTCTGGGGCACAAGGTTTAGATAGGAACTCTCAGTCTGGGGCAATGGATGCTCTGTATTCTTGGTGCTTGGGGGGGGGCAACAGTGGGAGGGGCTTCTAGTGTCCTGGCCCCACTGCTGGACCTCCTGATGGCACCTGGTATTTTTGGCCACCGTGTGACATAGTGTTGGGCTGGATGGGCCATTGGCCTGATCCAACATGGGCTTCTCTGATGTTCTTCTCTTATGTTCTCAATCGATGCCCGCCTGCCGACGTTCTGGCTCACAGCTGCCAGTCAGACCTGGCAGTTGCTTTGGTGACCTACCGGGGGCGGCTCGCGACGTCGAAACAACCTTCCGAATGTCGAACTCTTCCTTCCAGAAACCTTCATCCAGAACTACAGTGTTCTGTACAGCCCCTTGAGAAGGCACCTGATGGGCAGCCAGAGGTCCGCCCGCTTTGGCGCTCAGCACAGAATCAGAGAAGTCGCCACCGACACTTTCCAGGAGGTGGTGCTGATGAGCGACAAGGTAAGAGAGCGGCGTGTGTCCACAGTGCGTCGACCAGGCTGGGTTGGGATCTTGGCAATCCGGTGAGGTGCAGGCTGACTCTGGTTGGTAGCAGCCACATCTGAAGACGCCGACCAGGGGTCTCCAGCCTAGAGGGGTTCTGGGTTCAGATCCGCACAGAGCTAGGAAGCTCACGCGTGACCTCGGGATGAGCCCCTCCCTCTTTCTCTGCCTGCTTCGCAGGGCTGTTGTGAGGTTAAAGACAGAAACATATCCCGCCGTGAGCTCCTTCTTTACTTCATTTATACCCCGTTTTTATCCATAGTGGCATTCTCCCCCTCTCCATGTTTACCCTCACAACAACCCTGTGAGGTTGGTTAGGAGGAGAGAGGGCGTGGCTGGCCCAAGGCCACCCGGTGAGCTTCCCGCGTGGATTTGGTCTCCCAGATCTTAGCCTGACACTCTGTAACCCTTACGCCACATCAGCTCTCCAGGGCATTGAAAGAGGCGGACTAATCCCACGGGGGGAGGGGGGGTGTCTGATGTCTGAGGTGTTTCCCTTGACTCGGGGGGTGGGGGCGAGTTTCTCCCTGGCTGCTTCTCGCCAGGGTCTGCTTTGGTTCTGCCTGGCGGAGGGCGGCTCTCAGGTCGTGGGCGTTGCTGTGCGCCTGCATTGCAAGTAGAGACGCCAGTGCGGTTTCTCTGCTCCCAGATCGCGGCTGTGGGAAGTGGGGAGAGCGTATCTCAGAGACGGCCGCCGCTTCTGAAAAGGAACAGCAATGCCCTGACCTGGACAGAGCCGACCCTGGCAAGTACTTGGATGGGGGACCTCCAAGGAATACCAGGGCCGGGAGGCAGGAGCAGGCAATATCAAGCTGCTCCTCTGAACGTCCTCCGTGCCCCAGTAGGAGTCACAAGAGGTCGCCATGGCTTCCAGGCACGGACACACACACACACATGCAAAAATACCCCCCACCCACCCCAAAAAAGGAACAGTGATGTGATTTCTAATACCATGTAACATGTAGCTGCCTTAGACTGAATCAGACCCTGGGTCCATCAAGGTCAGTCTTGGCTGCTCTGACTGGCAGCCGGTCTCTAGGGTCTCAGGCGGGGGTCTTTCGCATTACCTTCTACCTGACGCCTTTAATGGGAGATGCCAGGGATTGAACCTGGGACCTTCTGCATGCCAAGTAGAGGCTCTTCCACTGAGCCACGGCCCCTCTTTGCAGCTCTCCAGAGTCTCAGGTGGAGGTTTTTCCCATCACCTCCTGCCTGGTCCTTTTCAACTGGAGATGCCTCTGGGGACTGAACCTGGGACCTTCTGCATGCCAAGCAGAGGCTCTCCCACTGAGCCACAGCCCCTCTTTGCAGCTCTCCAGAGTCTCAGGTGGAGGTCTTTCCCATCACCTCCTGCCTGGTCCTTTTCAACTGGAGATGCCGGGGACTGAACCTGGGACCTCTCCATGCCAGGCAGAGGCTCTGCCACTGAGCCACGGCCCCTCTTTGCAGCTCTCCAGGGTCTCAGGCAGAGATCTTTCCCATCACCTCCTACCTGGTCCTTTTTAACTGGAGGTGCCGGTGATCAAACCTGGGACCTTCTGCATGCCAAGCAGAGGCTCTCCCACTGAGCCACAGCCCTTGAGGTGCCCCGAACTCGTTTGAAAGCACCCTCCGAAGAATCCAGATTCTATGTATGTTTAAAAAATTGACAGAGGGTCTCTGTTCTATGTCTGTCTTTGCAAATAGAGAACCTGGAGGGAGCCAGTGAAGGGGGGCTGGCTGCCTTGAATCAGCCAGGGGGAAGGTGGCATCGCCTGTCTCTCCTTCCCCTCTGAACGCCCTCCTTGGCTGGCTCGCCCTTCACCGCCCTCTCGCTTGCCTCTTCTCCCCTCTCCCAGGACGTCTTGCTGCTGTATTACGCTCCGTGGTGTGGTTTCTGTGTGGCCCTCAACCACATCTTCATCCAGCTGGCTCGGATCCTGCCCGATAACTTCGTCGTGGCCAGGTAGGCAGGGGGCTGTTTCCTTGCGGATCGCGTTGCACTCTCGTCTAAGCCTGCGTACCCCCTTGTGACAGCCTGGGTGGTCTTGTGCCCGTGGTGATCCTCTGAGCCCACTGAGGGAAGAAACTGAATGGATTCTGCCTGGCAAACCAGGACCACTGTGGCAGTCAGTGCCCAAACCCAACAGGACTCAGGTCAAATAAGAGAATCTCTGGAGGCATTTGACCTGAGTTCTGTTGGGTTTGGGCACTGACTGCCACAGAGGCACTGGTTCTGGGGGGGCACACTGGACTTCTGGCTGGCAAATATGCCCCCTCACACCACACCTCACTTACTTTCTTGCAGAGAGATTCTCGGGGAGACACTGTCTGCTGCCTGCCTTTTTCCCGTCCCCTTAGGAAAAATGGAGGATTGGGGGCACCTTCTTTGGATTCCCCTAAAATTGGACCCCCTGACTACAATGGCCCCATAGGATATAATGGACCCGAAAATTTTTGGGTTTTTCGGCATTCATTTTTCGGCATTCATGATTCGGTATCCCAAAAACCTGAAAAATGCCAAAAAGGTTTTTTTCGGGGTTTTTTATCAGGCCGGCTTTACCGAATGCACACCCCTAGTGGGCACCTTTTGAACTCTGACACAGGGTGGCAGGTGCAGCCACAAAATAGCCACGTGGGAGACAGAGCCGACAACATGCAGTGGAGGCCCGAATGTAGGGAAGTAATTTGAAAGAGACACTGGGGAAGAGGAGTCCAAGAGGGAACAAAACCAACACCGTAGCGGCAGCTGTTGCTTAAATGTTCATTTTAATCTGCGCAGCCAAACAGATTTTAATACTTTGATCTTAGTATTTTATATTTGTCATTTGTTTCTATGTCATTTTTGACGTATTGGCTTTTATGTTGTAAGCCACCACGAGACCCTTCGGGTAAAAAAATCTAATCAAAAAATAAAATAAATCTCAAATGGGCAATTAGAAACCCAACTGGGCAGGAGCCAGTTTGGTGCATTGGTTAGGAGCGTAATCTGGGAGGTTTGATTCCCCACTCTGCCTCCACATGCAGCTGCTGGGGTGACCTTGGGTCAGTCACAAGTTCTGTCAGAACTGTTCTCTCAAGAGCAGTTCTGGAAAGAGCTCTCTCAGCCCCACTTACCTCACAGGGTGCCTGTTGTGGGGAGGGCAAGGGAAAGGAGTCTGTAAGCCGCTCTGAGACTCATTCGGGTAGTGAAGGGCGGGGTATAAATCCAATCTCTTCTTCTAAAAATACTTGGCAGGCACCAGGAAAGGTCTTAGCAGGCACCATGGTGGCCCCCGGGCATCACATTGGGGACACCTGTACTAGTGCCATGTTTTGTCTTGGAAACTGTGTCATAATAGGTGATTTTAACTACCCACACATTGGTTGGGTCAATATGTGTTCTAGTCGAGAAAAAGAGATTGAGTTTCTAGACACTCTAAATGACTGTGCTATGGAGCAGATGGTCACGGAACCTACCAGGGGAGAGGCGATCCTTGATTTGGTCCTAAGTAACACTCAAGACCTGGTGAGAGATGTAAAAGTGATTGCACCACTTGGAAACAGTGATCATAATGTTGTTGAGTTCATCATTTGTACAAATAGAGAATTGGCCAAAAAGACTCACACAACCACTTTTAACTTTAAAAGGGGTAACTTCTCTGATATGAGGGGACATGTGGGGAGGAAACTGAAAGGAAAACTTGGAAACTATTTAAAACTACGATCCTAGAAGCTCAAAAAAATATATATTCCGCAAGTTAGGAAAGGCACAAATAGGTATAGGAAAAAGCCTGCATGGTTAACAAACAAAGTAATGGAAGCTGTAAAAGGTAAAAAGGATTCCTTTAAGCGGTGGAAAGCTAGTCACAGTGAGGCTGATAAAACAGAACACAGGCTATGGCAAATAAAATGCAAGTCTGTGGTCAGGGAGGCAAAAAGGGAATATGAGGAGCATATAGCAAAAAATGTAAAAACCAACAATAAAACTTTCTTCAAATATATTAGATGCCTCCGTCTTCACTGTGGAAGATGAGAAGTGCTTGCCCACTCCAGAACCACTGATTTCAGGAGGGGTGTTGGAAGACCTGAGTCAGATTGAGGTGATGAGAGAGGAGGTCCTAAAACTGATAGACAACTTAAAAACTGATAAATCACCAGGCCCAGATGGCATACATCCGAGAGTTCTGAAAGAACTCAAATGTGAACTTGTAGATCTCCTGACAAAGATATGTAATCTTTCCTTAAAATCTGCCTCCATTCCTGAGGATTGGAAGGTAGCTAATGTCACTCCCATCTTTAAAAAGGGTTCCAGAGGAGATCCGGGAAATTACAGGCCAGTCAGTCTGACGTCGATTCCGGGTAAATTGGTGGAAACCATTATTAAGGAAAGAATTAGTAGGCACATAGATGAACAAAACCTATTGAGGCAGACTCAGCACGGTTTCTGTAAGGGAAGATCTTGTCTCACTAACCTGTTAGTGTTCTTTGAGGGGGTGAACAAACATGTGGACAAGGGGGATCCAATAGATATTGTTTACCTTGACTTCCAGAAAGCTTTTGATAAAGTTCCTCATCAAAGGCTCCTAAGTAAGCTCAAAAATCATGGGATAGAAGGACAAGTCCTTTTATGGATCAAAAACTGGCTAGTTCATAGAAAACAGAGAGTGAGTGTAGGTGGGCAATTTTCTCAGTGGAGGGTGGTAAGCAGTGGGGTACCGCAGGGATCAGTACTTGGTCCACTGCTTTTTAACTTGTTCATTAATGATTTGGAGTTGGGAGTAAGCAGTGAAGTGGCTAAATTTGCGGATGATACGAAGTTGTTCAGGGTGGTGAAAACCAGTGAGGATTGTGAGGCACTCCAAGGGGATCTGTCAAGGATGGGCGAGTGGGCGTCAACATGGCAAATGGGGTTCAATGTGGCCAAGTGCAAGGTGATGCACATTGGAGCCAAAAATCCTAAATATAAATACACGTTGATGGGGTCTGAACTGGCAGAGACTGATCAAGAGAGAGATCTTGGAGTTGTAGTAGATAACTCACTGAAAATGTCGTGACTGCAATAAATAAGGCCAATGCTATGCTGTGGATTATTAGGGAGGGTATTGAAAACAGATCAGCCAATATCATAATGCCCCTATATAAATCAATGGTGCGACCTCATTTGGAATACTGTGTGCAGTTCTGGTCACCACACCTTAAAAAGGATATTATAGCTTTGGAAAAAGTTCAGAAAAGTGCAACTCGAATGATAAAAGGGTTGGAACACTTTCCCTATGAGGAAAGGTTAAAGCGCTTACGGCTCTTTAGCTTGGAGAAACGACGACTGAGGGGTGACACGATCAAGGTTTACAAGATTATGCATGGGAAAGAGCAGGTAGAGAAAGAGGTACTTTTCTCCCTTTCTCACAATACAAGAACTCGTGGGCACTCCATGAAATTGCTGAGCAGTCGGGTTAGAACAGATAAAAGGAAGTCCTTCTTCACCCAAAGAGTGATTAACACATGGGATTCACGGCCCCAGGAGGTGGCGGCGGCTACAAGCATGGATGGCTTCAAGAGGGAATTGGATAAACATATGGAGCAGAGGTCCATCAGTGGCTATGAGCCACAAGGTATAGATAGGGACTCTGGGGCAAGGGATGCTCTGTATTCTTGGTGCTTGGGGGGAGGGCAACAGTGGGAAGGCTCCTAGTGTCCTGGCCCCACTTGTGGACCTCCTGATGGCACCTGGTGCTTTTGGCCACTGTGTGACACAGAGTGTTGGACTGGACGGGCCTTTGGCCTGAGCCAACATGGGCTTCTCTGATGTTCTTATGTAAGCGGCAGGCGAAGCAAAGCCTACCTGTCCAGAGATGACGGGAGCTTCACAGACCGTGTTCAGGGCCCGGCTGGGGAGTCTGCTGTTCAGAGGGTAAAGCGAGCTTAGTTCGTAGTGCGCTTGGGAAGCCGCCACCCCGAACTCTTTACGGTGCTTCCAGAAGAGGTCCAAACGTCTGACCCGGGATGCCGGGCGTAAGGGGAGGGTATATTGCAAACGCGATGTTTTAATAGATGCAGGTGGGAGGCCATGTCGGTCCGAAGCAGCAGAGCAAAGTTTGTGTCCAGTCAGGCACCTTTAAGACCAGCAGAGTTTCGTTCAAGGTATCAGATTTTGCGTGCACGCGCCGTCCTTCAGATGCCTGAATGCACACGGAAGATACCTGAATGCACACGGAAGCTTCTACCCAGAATCAAACTTTGTTGGTCTTGAAGGTGCCCATGGACTCACACTTTGGCAGGGCTCTTTTTGTAGAAAAAGCCCAGCAGGAACTCATTAGCATAATAGGCCACACCCAACAGCAGGAACTCATTAGCCTATTGGGCCCCACCCCTGACCACACAGCTCATTAGCACATTAGGCCGCACCCCCATGTTACCAGAAGCGTGGTCATCCATCCACACCCACCTTTTGCTTGTTATTCTGTTTACCTTGTTTGTTGTCCAAACCCAGGGCCTTTTTTGTAGCAGGAACTCCTTTGCATGTTAGGCCACACACCCCTAATGCAGCCAATCCTAATGAGTTTCTGCTGTTGGGCGTGGCCTGTTATGCTAATGAGTTCCTGCTGGGCGTGGTCAACTCGGGAGCCAGCTGGAACTCTGTTCCTGTGCGTTCCTGCCCAAAAATAGCCCTGGTTTAATGAGAAGGGGCATTTTTGACACGTCGCTGCCGCCTGGCACGGCTTGCACCCGTGTGCGAATTGCCAGACGGGCATTCCAACTCCGTCTTGTGCACCGTGCGCTAGCTTGTCAGCTTGGTCTGTAAAGTGCCGTCAAGTCGCAGCAAGGGGCTTTCAGGTGAGAAGCAGCAGAGGTGGTTGGCCACGGCCTTCCTCTGCAGAGCCTTCCTTGGTGGCCTCCCTCCCAAGTGCTGACCCCGCTTAGCTTCTGAGGTCTGATGAGAGGCTTATGGGAAACCCAGGAAGGGGCTTTCCAGGCAAGTGGGAAGGAGAGGTGGTTGGCCACGGCCTTCCTCTGCAGAGCCTTCCTTGGTGGTCCCTCCTCCAAGTATTGACCCTGCTGGGCTTCCGAGAGAGGCCTGTACCATGCCACCTCCCCTGCTATGTGTTATGCCAGCCCCCAAACCCCTGGGGGACTTTAAACTGGTGTCTTGGAGGGGTATGTCTTGCTGCCTGCCCCCTCCTAGGGCCTCCGGACTTTCCTCCTCACCAATGCTCCCTCTAAGCCAGTGATGGGGAACCTTTTAGAGACCGAGTGCCCAAACTGCGACCCAAAGCCCACTCATTGATCGCAAAGTGCCAACACGGCAATTTAACCTGAATACTGAGGTTCTACTTTAGAAAAAACAACTCACACATTAACTTAAGATGATCCAAACAGAGGAAGGAAAGCAATCCCAAATGCTTTCATTTACTTAAAATTATTTGGCAGAGAATTCAACACTTTAATGATGGTCTGGGCCTGGCTGGGGCGATGGCACGCGTGCCCACAGAGAGGGCTCTGAGTGCCACCTCTGGCCCCTGTGCCATAGGTTCGCCACCACTGCTCTAAGCTGTGGGGTCTTGTGAGCAAAAATTCAACTTCGTGAGCTACCAGCATTCGAGTTGTGTGAGCGATGAGCGATTTGGCGACTGCATGAATTAGTTTGCTCTGGAGCCCTCCTTCCTGAGCGAAGACAAAAATGTGTGAGCCGGAGGCTAAAAAACCCCTGTGAACTAGCTCACACTAACTCAGCTTAGGGGGAACACTGCTTGCAAGCAATGCTCCCTCTAAGCTGTGGAGTCTTGTGAGCAAAAATTCTACCCGGTGAGCTCCTGGCATTCAAGTTGAGAGCGAGCGATTTGGCTGCTGCATGAATTAGTTTGCTCTGGGGCCATCCCCTCCTGAGCGAAGACCAAAATGTGTGAGCCAGAGGCTAAAAAACTGTGAGCTGGCTTAGAGGGAACACTGCCGTCCCCACCTGTACAATCTGCTTTGTGGAATCACAGAATCACTCTGCAGGGACGGAAAGGCGCTGGAGCTCTCGCTCGACCAGACCTTCCCCACATTCGGCCACGGGAGCAGGCATGACTCAAGGGTGATCGATGGGCAGATGAGAACCTCGGTGTATTTTAAGCGCTGCCCTTTGAGGAACCGCTCAGCACTTAATTAAGGGCCCGATAAGCCTTCCCCTCTCCCCGAAGCTAAGCTGAGTTTCAACGCCCACTCCTCTTTCCAAGACAAACAGTGTGTGCTTGCTCAGAAGCGACCAGGGTTCATTCCAGGCCCTCGCGGCCGTCCTCTCGCCTTTGTTCCCCCGGCAGCTGCGTCCCGCATCTCTTCTTCAGCATTCCCCAGGCAGCTGTTCTATAGATCTCATTCGGACTTCCTGCGGCGCTGAGTCACCTGCGTACACAAGAGTCATCCTGCCACTTCTGACCGGTCCTTGACCTCGCAGCCCGTGCCCTGAGAAACTGATGACGAGCCAAAGGCTCGGATGGAGGCCCACAATGCTCTGTGCGTCTCTGTGTGAGTCGCTGGCCTGGGAGTGCTTCCGCTGAGTCTCTGCCTTGGGATTCATAGCATGACCCAGTTGTACGCCGTGCAGAGTTGCAGCAGAAGTCTCTTTGCCCTCTGATGAACTGTGCCACCTTTCAGTCAATAAGTAAAACATGAGAAGCCTTCTTTTAGAGGAGGAGGATTGGATTTATACCCCGCCCTTCACTACCTGAAGGAGTCTCAGAGCGGCTTACAATCTCCTTTCCCTTCCCCTCCCCACACCACACACCCTGTGAGGGTAGGTGGAGCTGAGAGAGCTCTTTCGAGGACTGCCCTTGAGGGAACAGCTCCGGGAGAACTTGTGACTGACCCAAGGTCACACCAGCAGCTGCATGTGGAGGAGTGGGGAATCAGACCCGGTTCTCCCAGATTAGAATCCGCGCTCCTCACCACGACACCAAACTGGTTCTTATTCTCTCACCTCCTAAGGGTCAACTTTTAAGCTGTGAAGTATACCTTTAACTCTAGTTCATGGGGAACGGGGGGGGGGGAATTGTGTGTCTTGGTTGTTGGAATCTTCACATAGGAGGACAGTGTGATTAAAAACATCCTCTATATTCTGGTTCCGTTTCTGCTGAGATATGAGAAACTTGCCTCCTTCTAGTGAAATGCTTCCAAAGCATCTCTGACGTGCCGTGTGGTGGGGTGGAGGGGCTTCATTGGGGTGGGGTGGGGACTTCATTCCACCCTTGCTTAATTTTTTAAAAATAATCCCTGCGCTCCTTGTTGCCGTTCTCTTGCTAGGGTGGACGTGTCGCAGAACGACCTTCCCTGGGAATTCATGACCGACCACCTCCCCAACATTCTCTTTTTCCCTCGCCAGAGGTAAGGAATGCATCTCCCGGGCTGTTTTGTTCGGGACAGAGAATGTTTTGGAAACGTGTCACCGCTCCCCCCGCCGCACGTCGTGAAGCCGGATCCAGGCCCCCTGCCAGTTGTCAGCGGAACAGGCCGCTGACGCTGGCTCAGATCAACAATCGCTTGCAACTCTGGGGGCCTCAGTTCCTGTGTTGAATGGGCCTCCCATGGTTTTCCCGTGAGGCCTGGGAAAACAAGGAAGGCCTTCGTGTCCTCCCACCCCACCCCCACTTTTACAGTCCTTTCATAATCACTGTCCTATATAATCACTGTCCTATATAATCACTGCCCTTTAATCATCATTGTCCTCGGACTCCCCACAGTAGGAACAGCCCTGCTAAGGTAGGCCGAAAGGGTTAGCGGCTTCCCCTGCAGAGGTTTCTCAGCGGCGCCTGCCAGACGCCGGGCTTTATCATGGCAGAGTTTTTAAAATGGATCGTTGACTGAGGTTTTGCACCCTCTCGGCTCCACAGCTCCAGGCAGAACACAGGGCCCGAGCTTACCACTAGTGTGGACTTCTGTTTCCTTTGTTCTCCCAGTGACCTGGAATGCTTGAGAGGGAAACGCTGGCTTCGGTTCAAGCCAATTAATTTGCCATTGCCTCCGAAGGAAAGGGTGTTTGAAAGCCATTGTCCGTCCTTGTGGCTCGGCGTCTTGAAACCCAGGTTGACATTTTCCAGGAGTGCCGCTTGGACGTCGCCCCTCCAGTTCCCAAACGGTCCAAGAGCAGGAGGGAGGCTCCTTTCATGTTTTGTGCGCTTGTTCCTGTTTTTCCTCACCTGGTCGGGGTTTCCTTAGTACTGTAGCGAAAACAAAGGGCTGGATCCAGCCCACTTCTAACTGGTGCTCTCTTGCACCCCAGGAAGGCTCCATGGAGCAGAGGACGGTGCAGCCGTTAGCAGAACGGATCCGCGCGGAGCCCCACCCCAAAGCTAAAACTGGGCTCCCTGGGAAAGTGGAACGAGGAAGGGGGCACAGCTGGGACCGGTGTTTCCTCTAAGCTGAGTTAGTGCGAGCTAGCTCAGTTTTTTTAGCCTCCAGCTCACAGATCTTTGTCTCGGCTCAGGAAGGATGGGGCTCCAGAGCACACTAATGTATGCAGTAGCCTCTAAGCTGAGTCATTGCAAGCTAGCTCACTTTTTTTAGCCTCCAGCTCACAGATCTTTGTCTCGGCTCAGGAAGGATGGGGGCTCCAGAGCACACTAATGTATGCAGTAGCCTCTAAGCTGAGTCATTGCAAGCTAGCTCACTTTTTTTAGCCTCCAGCTCACAGATCTTTGTCTCGGCTCAGGAAGGATGGGGGCTCCAGAGCACACTAATGTATGCAGTAGCCAAATCGCTCGCTCACAAAGCAGAATTTTTGCTCACAAGACTCCACAGCTTAGGGGGCGCACTGGCTGGGACCGTGGGACCTGGCGACCGAGCGAGGCCACGATCAGGAAGAGCTGCCTAAACAAGATTCCCCCGATGTAGCCAGCCTTTGTGGCTGTTCTGCTTTTGGGACAGAAGTTTACACGTCAAAACGTTTATATTTTGCCTTTCCTCCTGGTTCAAGGCAGTTTGCGGTAACAGTTTAAAAACATTTTCAGTTGAAGCCAAAATAAAACAGAAAACTCCAAACCTGTCCCGGCACCAAGTTCTGCAGGAGTCCGATTTGGTGACTGTAGGTGTGTTTTGACCCTCCTTCATTCGTTTCTATCGTTTCTACCTGGCTTCCCTTCCTGATGGGGGCTTACGTCGCTCTTCTTCCATTTTATCCCCACAACAAACCTGTGAGGCAGGGTTAGGTCGAGGGTGCCACGGTAGCATTCGAACCTGGGTCTCCCACACCCTCCCCTGACATTTGAACCACTACACCACACCGTCTCTCGGCACTGTGCCAGAGGAGCGCTCAGCTGAGTTTTGAAATTGTCTCTCAGCTGGGCAACACACCGGATTGAACATAAGAAAAGCCACTGTTGGACCAGGCCAGTGGCCCATCCAGTCCAACACTCTGTGTCACGCAGTGGCCAAAAATACCAGGTGCCGTCAGGAGGTCCAGCAGTGGGGCCAGGACACCAGAAGCCCTCCCACTGTTGCCCCCCCCCAGCACCAAGAATACAGAGCATCCCTTGCCCCAGACTGAGGGTTCCTATCTATACCTTGAGGCTAAGAGCCACTGATGGACCTCTGCTTCATATTAAGAGAAGCCAGTGTTGGATCAGGCCAATGGCCCATCTAGGCCAACACTCTGTCACACGGTGGCCGAAAATACCAGGTGCCCTCAGGAGGTCCAGCAGTGGGGCCAGGACACAGAGTTTCCCCCGCTGCCCCCCCCCCCCCAGGCACCAAGAATACAGAGCATCACTTGCCCCAGACCCAGAGTCCCTATCTGTACCTTGTGGCTCACAGCCACTGATGGACTTCTGGCTCCATATGCTTATCTAATTCCCTCTTGAAGCCATCCATCCATGCTTGTAGCCGCCGCCACCTCCTGTGGTCACCTCCAGGTGATCAAGGAAGAAGGAGCTCGTGGCTAGAGAAGCACTGGTTTCCTTTCCGCTTTCGGTGGGCTGCAGGCAGGCAAAGGCAATTTGAGTTTTGTGGACTTCTTTTAAAGCAGCGTTTGGTCCCTCCGGAAAGGCCTATGACCCCTGGGGCCTCGCCCCCGGAGGGTTACAGGGACACCGTTTGGGAAAAGGAAAAGGTTCTCATTCTCTTCCGATTCTTTTTCTCCTAGGAAGGACCAAAGCGTGAAGTTCCCCGAGGAGTTCCCGGTCACCCTCCCCAACCTTCTCAGATTCCTCCTCCGCCACTCGAGCCCCCGCCTCCAGGAGTGCCGCGTCTCCCTCCTGGAAAGGGAGATCCAGCAACTGAGGGCGGAGATCCGGGCCCTGCGGGAAGCCCAGGCCTTGCTCCAGGCCCAGCTCGCGGAGGCCCGGAAAGAAGAGCGGCGCCTCCTGCAGGAGAGCCGGGTCTTGCAGAAGCAGCACGAGGCCCTCCAGAGCCAGCGGGAGCACCTGCAGGGGCTCTGCGACCGGAAGTCCCGGGAGCTGCAGGGCCTGGCCGGGAAGCTGCAAGAATTGGCCGAGGCCTCGAAGACCCTGCTGGCCGAGAATGCCCTGCTCAGAGTCCTCCTGGCTGCTGCGGCGGAACGGGGGACCACGGCAGAGCCGGACTCCAGCCCCACCCGGGAGGAGGAGGAGGAGGAGGAAGATGACGACGACAGCACCCGCCTGGAGGCCACAATGGCTTCGGAGCGCAGCCGAGAGAACTGGACAGAGCAGCCCACGTAGCTGGAGGCAGGGTTGGACAGGGACACGCGCCGTAACAAAAAAACAATCAAGTGACTCTCAATCGGGAAGATCTTTATGCAAATTTTTATTGAAATTTCATCATAAAGACTTTGGGGGGGGGGGGCAAGACTACAAAAGGTGTGCGGGGAAATCAGATGACCTATTTTTGTAACGAGTAAATTAACCAGGTCTCGGCGTTCGGGGCCGCCCTTCGCACTCTCCGATTGCACTAATTTGATAACAAGTTTTTTTGTACTACTGCAGTGAAAACGTCAACCGAGCGGGGAAGGTCGGCTGTGTGACAATTCCCTCCCCCCCGCCCTCCGGTCGGGGCCAGGTTTTTTGGGCTGCATCAGCTCCCCCACCCCCAAAGGAAGTCTTAATTTATGCTTTCTTGGAGAAGTCTAAATGGGTGGTCATCTTTTGACGTTTTTCATTTACAGAACGGGGGGGGGGGCTGCTCAGGCATGTGCGTTTGCAAAAACCGAATTTATGGGGAGGGGAAAAAATTAAAAGGGTGGCTCCCCTCCTTCCCTCTCGTGACTCTCTTTTTCAAGCGGTGATCCTGCACCATCCTGCCCTCTGCTCTTAGGAAGAAATTGGCTTTATACCCCTGCCCTTCACTTGGCGTCTCAGAGTGGCTGACAGTCTCCTTTCCCTCCCCCTCCCCACAGCAGACACCCTGTGAGGCAGGTGGGGCTGAGAGAGCTTGTGACTGGACCAAGGTCATCCAGCAGGTTCGAGTGGAGGAGTGGGGACTCAAACCCGGTTCTCCCAGATTAGAGTCCGCCCACGTAACCACTACGCCAAACTGGCTCTCCTCCAGCACTGCTGGGTGTCAAAACAGACCCACCCACCCCCTGGTCTTGTAAAAGGGCCGAGCGGTCTGGCCCCGGGGGCTCCTGCTTTTGCATGCCAAAGAGGGGCCCTTCCCCACAGCCCTCCGGGTCTCCTGGGCTCCCTTTCAGCTCCCCTGGAGGAGGAGTGGTTCTTCACGGATGGGCAGGTGGGCTGAAGGGGATGCTCGAGCAAGCCCACACACACCCCAATTTCTGGAGGCAGCTGTGGACTCACTCTCCTTTCTCCCCAAAAATGATTTGGGATGAAGCATCTCTGTTCTAAGGTGCGTTCCCCGGGTATAGCGGGAGGCCGTGGCTCTTCTAGTGCCATCGCAGATTCGGGTCCTGTTTTGTCACATGGGGCATCTGCCCTGTGAACACGGGACGCTGGGCGAGGGACTGCTGTTCTCTCTGCCAGGCCCGATGGGGCGGGAACAAGGACAATTCTGTACTGGGCGGGTCCCCCCCCCCCCAAAGGGAAAGCCGGCTTTGCGGCCGGGGAGCTGCTGCTGCTGCTGGTCCTCCTCCAGAGGAGAAGAGCTTTCCCGCTCCGCGTGACGGCATCTCTTGCTTCCAGTTAATATTGGGGGGGGCCCTCTCATGATTCCCAAGGAGATGTGAGATGGCTCTCTGCTGGAAAAGCCTAGCTTTCTAGATTTCTCACAAGGACGCTGGGCCTCGAATGCCCTTTCCAAACACGGGCCTCATCTCTCCCTCGCCCGGTCTAGGTCATTGTGCGTGCCTCTCTACTTACTTTATCTGTATCCCATCTTTTTCCCCAGCAGGGACCCCCAAGGTGGCTTTAGAGCAATGCTCCCTCTAAGCTGTGGAGTCTCGTGAGCAAAAATCCTACTTTGTGAGCTACTGGCATTAAAGTTGTAAGCGAGCGTTTTGGCTGCTGCATGAATTAGCTTGCTCTGGAGCCACATCCTTCCTGAGCTAAGACAAAAATGTGTGAGCCGGAGGCTAAGAAACTGTGGGCTAGCTCACAGCAACTCAGCTTAGAGGGAACACTGGTTGCAAGC